GCTTGGCCTAACTCAAGGGAACATGAAACTCCCCAGATCTGATGTGGATAGAAGAGGGCAGAGAAAGGGCGCATTATACTTCTGATTTACGCTGTCATTTACAATAGTCTAACCCTCACTTGTTATGATTCACCAGTCTCAACGTGATTAGGATGTATATTTTGCATGTATACACATACATGTCTTCCAAAGAACAAGCAGAGACCCAGTATTGGAACACAGTGAAACAGAGCCACAATTAATTTGCTTTGCAGAAATGGTTTCAACACTTGGGATTATAAAGCAATCCCTTAAGGGTCAGGAGGAAAAGTATGTTTGCTTTCCAGCATCAGGAATAAGGATATGTCCATTTCTTTATATTTTTGGAGTGTTGATAGAATGGATGGGAGAACAATGGAGGAAATGGATTTATACTACAAACTGTGGATGCAAAATAATTGCATTTTAAATGGAAAAAATTCTAAATGGAAATGATCATCTCTATTGCTCTTTATCAATGAATAAATAGAATAGTATTCTGTTAGAGATACTGCTTTGATCACCTGGATACTTTAGAACAAGGGTGTCAAACTCAGTTTCAATGAGGTTTGCATCAGGGTTGTGTTTGACCTCAGGGGGCCGAGGTGGGCGTGGCATCACTCATATCAGGGGCACCTGTGGTGGCCCAAGTGCTCTGCCAGTGAAAATGGGTTCCCAAGCTCTGTTTCTGGCTGTGACAGCCTCCTGCAACCCTCCACCAGCCAAAACAGAGTTCGCAGCCTCCCTTTTCGGCTACAATGGCCTCCTCCAACCCTCTGCCAGCAAAAACTGAGCTCGCGAGGGCCATGCATGGCCCTCATGAGCTCTATTTTTGCTGGCAGAGGCACTGTGAGCCAGTCCTTCACTGTTTCCAGGGTGACCTGCAGGCCAGATCTAAGCACCCCATGGGCTGCATCTGGCCCCCACGCCTTGAATTTGACACCTCTGCTTTAGGATTAATGTTTCTATAACAAAAGAGTTAAGAAAAATGTTTAAACCCTTTTTGTCCCCCTCACAGAATCTTCAAATTGTTTCTAAAATTAAGTGAGACTCCTCATGACAATGATATGGATTTCCTGACTAGCACATCCACATGGTAGCCTTCCTCCCTATCAGTTTTCTCATAAATTTTTCATTCAGAATAAATCAAGGAACATTATTTTAAATATTTGTCTAAACTGACTTCATAAATCCTTTAGGTTTTCCCTTATACTAGGGGTCTCTAAACTTGGCAACTTTAAGACTTGTGGATTAGCTGATGGGAAATTCTGCAAATTGAACTTCCAGAATTAACTTGCCAGGTATGGTGACCCCTGCCTTATACTATCAAGCTTCAGACAGCCATCAATCCTATTCTTTTACTACCTGCTACTAATTACTTTTCATCATCCTATAAAAATACTTAATTGCCGTTCAAATAGTTCAACACAAGTGGCACAACAACCAGAAACAAAACAAAAAAAGAAATGCACAACAGTTACTGTTTCTACCTTTGCTTTTCCCTTTGTATTCAGATTATTCTATCGTGAAGGGGAGATACTGTCTGGACAGTCATAAACAGACAATCTTGAAATCATTTCCCAAATAACAGTCCCTATTAAAGGCTATCTTTGTTTTTGTATTATAGCCAGGCAAACATCTGGCTGCTGCGTACATTAGAACAAATAATTCCAATTCCACTGTTCTGCCAAAGAAAAGTTGGCTTACCCTTCTAGAGAACAAAAACCAATCATGATGCTTTTCCAAAGTAGAAAAAGGACAAGTTAGTACTTTCATTATTTGATTCCTGAACCACCCCGATAATTTTTATATGTAGCTAAACCTGTTCTGCGATAGATGCCAATTCTTGTCACTTTGGTGCAAACAGAATTAAAGACAGGCATAGTCATAATTTATTTTCTTTTTAAGCCTGAGACCACCAAATGTTACGCTGACAAATTAATTTCCAGATCATACAGTTTCCTTTATGTAAATGGGGCCTAACAACAGGAAATAAACTAGTATCTAAATTTCAAAGCC